CTCCAACCACTAGGTACACTTCCTGTGATGGACTCTGGCAAGATGATTCAAGTCATCTGATTTCCTAATGTACATGGACATTGTGCTCTGCACAGATGTAATCTTACAAAAAGAGAAAGTTCATGTGCTCATTATGCTTTGTTGTTCATTTCCATCTTATAACTAAAATTGTAACCACCTCAATGCATAACATTTATCAGGGCAAATGATTAACTTTGTCCCTTAAGTTCACTTCAGGACATCAACTACTCCCAGTCAGTCATTAACCCCAGACAATTATTACTTATGTAATGGCCCTTCCATCTTGCCTTTCAGCCTCAAAATTCCTCACACTACCCCCTCTCCTTGGAAGCAGAGAATAATCACCCACTAATACACTCTGCCTGGTGTAGCCATATCTATCTATCTATCTATCTATCAATCTATCTATCAAACAACTTTTAAGGGGCCTTAATATCATCCCAGCCATTCTCAGGAAATGCACCAAGTATTAAAAGCTTAATGGATAGCAGTGGAACTGATTTAAGTGAGTCGTCTGCAGACCAGATACAACGTGCGGGCGCAGGAATCAGGGAGAGCAAGAGAACAACAATTTAGAGGGATATGGAGATACTGCCTCTGGAGCAGGTAATGAGTAAGAATGAACACATTGAAACACCAGGCTGCTTCCAGAACACTGCTGTGGTTCACGCTCTGGAACCCACTTTAATTTTATGTTGTAGTTACCTGTCCCATCCTCAAATAAAACAAAGATTTAGAAGGGAATGTTCAATTAAACAGGCTGCCTGGTTCTCTAAGATCAGTGCTCTCTTGCTCTCATTCTCCTCACTCACAGGAGAACTTAGCACTGCAGTTAAACCTTTGCATGGAAATCTGGCCACACGAATAGATCCCCTGAGGGATGTATCTACAGGGTGCTAGACATAGCCTGATGAGGTATGTGCTACAGAGCTGCACAATCTCACTTTCTGATGCGGTCAGGTTTTTCGTGGTAACTCAGTGACCTTGTTACAATCACACACCCTGTTTTAGCCCCCCAGATCTAGCATTCAGGAAAAGGAAGGTTAGTACAGCAAGGGAGGTTATCGTAAATGACAAAGAAGGGAAGGTGGTTCAGGTGCCTTCCTGGGACCTGGACAGTTATTTGTTTGGCCAAGGACAGAGGTACCAAACGGCAGTGTAAGGAGGTCTACATCTTGTAGATGACAGAGTGAAGTGTGGGAGGATGATGGCTGGTGCTTCAGTGCTATGGTGTCAGGTGTATTAGAAAATGCTGATAGGGAGATAGATGGACAGAGAAAGAGAGAGATGATGGATTGATGGTATGAGAGATTTTCAGACAATAAGGGTAAATGTTATGCAGAGGCTGGGAATGGGATCCTAGGAGAACTGCAAGATAATGAGCCAATTACAATGTTTGGCTTGCTCCTTGGATTCTCCTTTGGACCCCCTTTCCATCTACCTCACCCCTGCATGAAAGCTTCCCTGTGCCAAAGATGTGACTCTCTAGGGAGTCATTTAATGCTGCTCTGAGTCCTAGCTCCACCAGGAGAGACACATACCTTCTTCCTCCTTCCAGCTGGACATCACCCAGCCTGGAATGCATACAGTGGTCCCTATTGGCCTAGACCCTGTAAATCCATATTCAGAACAAGAGTCATACATTTGTTTCAGGCCTCATGATGTCACAATGTCCTGCCTTTATCTCATGATGCTGTAGCCGTTTGTGACATTGCGATGGCATCACATGAAGATGCAGGTGGAAGGACCCGGTTGTTTGGTATCTTGGGTTAATACCAGTAGGTGGCAAAATGCAGAGGAAGGCTTGCACAGAGTGAGTCTAGCCTGGCTATATTGCTAAGAATTCAGAGGGAGATGGCCTATTCTCACCCAGCCCCTTTGGGTGCTCCAGCTGGAGAAGACTGGGCAACATTTAATTGTGCAGTAACAGACCTCACTGGGTATATTTCCCAGGCTGTCACCTTTGACATAGACTTATAGGGACCAGTTTCCCTCCCCCCACACCCATTCTTCTCCTTCTGAATTAGTTACTACAAACTAAATGTGCCAAAAAGACACCCCGTCACCAGTCTATGTGCATTCTGCAGAGCTCCTCCTTCTCATGCTGCCAGTGCAGGGAGGGTTAACATTTCGGTTCCCCTAGAGGCTATGCTCCAGTTGACAATATCATCAGCTTTTGACAGAGTTAATGGGGGATCAGGTGCATGAGGCAGCCTGTAATACCCTGGAGAGCGATGAGTTGTGTCCGGAAGAGCCAGACCTCAGATATGTGCCATAATTGTTCAGGACCTGATGGCTTCCTGACCCATCTCCTCCTAATAAACCATTAGCTGCCTCTCCAGTGAGGAATCTTCTCTCCTCCTTTTGCATGAACCTTTCTTTCCCTTCTCTCTCCTTGGTTTTTTCTTGCTCTGTTTATCTTTTCTAGCTGTACACTCTGCATTCATTTCCGTTAGACTTTCTTCTCTTCCACTCTCTTGCTTTGACCCTCCCCAGGGACTCTGGCTCTCCACCGCCTTTGGAAGTGTGTGTGTGTGTGTCTTTTGGATAATTACATTTATTTCAGAAGTAGGAATAGTGATAAGCAAATGACACCCCTCTCATTTCCCTAGCATCATCTTCCCCCTCTCCCCTTTTCCGCCCTCCAGCCCTTTTTACATGTTGGGAAATTTTTCAATATATATTCAAATCACTGTGGTTACCAGGGAGCTTAAGGCTGCCGTCCGCTGCTCGTACAACACACATACCCTTGTCACTTGTAGCCATCAACTGGGACATGAGTGCCAAGCGGAAGAGATGCTCTGTAGGATCCCTTTGATCTCTTCAGTGCCAAACATGGTTTGGAATAGACTGTACCAGAGCTACCCATCTGGATGGAAGATGCATATTGATGAGCCTCACTTGCGGATACTCTTTAGGGCTAGCACAGATGGCCTATGCCTCTGCAGTTAGTGCACTGACCCACCAAGTGTCAAATCCAAGTTTGCTTCCCAGCACAGGTGACTCATTCCTCCAGTGGAAGGAGATGGGATGTGGCTGTTGTTGCTCTCTGGCTAACAGAGAAGCTGTATTAGTCCAGAAGACCTTTCCAGCTCTTCTCTGCTGCCCAGTGTGTCTCCAGAAAGAACTCAAATGTCCTCTGTGCTTTCTATCTAAGAGATAGCCTTTTTGTTGCCATGTGATCAGTTGGAAATTTCCCTGTAACCCCAGTTCAGAGATTTGCAAAGATCTATACCTTGTGTTACAGCACTTGCTCCCTGGGACCTTGCCTACCTATTTGAAAAAGGGAGAAGGACGTGCAGAATCAGAACTGATTTCCCAGGGCCCCGTGGAATGGACTCCCAGTGCAAGCCTTGGGAGAAGAAAAAGAACCAGAACTGGAATTCTGTGCCCACCTGACATGGGCAGTGGGGTAGCTTGTAGGAGGAGACTGGAGAACAGAGCAGGGCAAATGAGGAAAAATAATTTCTGCAAATTTGTTCATAATCGGAAGTGAATTTGGATTTGACTATGGTGGCAGCTCTTTCATGATCGTTTTCCACTGGTATTTGAGTGCATGAGCTTACTAGTGCACATAGCTGCAAAGAGTGAATCTTTATTCCAAATGCTCAGCTACTTGCCAGATGTAAATATCAAATGCAACTTTTAGGATAACTAATCAAGACCCTGTGAACTGTGAATAGTGAATATGGTATTCTTTTCTGTTGTTATTATTATTTGGTATTTGTATTCTGCTAATGTGAGTGTTGGACATAAGAAGGCATACTCTCTGGCTCAAAGTTTAGTCACAGAAGCCTTCCAATCAAGGACATGCCATATATAACCAACTAAAACAGCACAGATTGTGAATATGTATAACCAATTGTTTGTGAATGAGCCAAAAATTATTCACTCAGGAAATTCCCAGACAATTTCATGCAACAAAATGAATGCCTCTGATGATTCCACAGTCTGCTCAGGGGAAATTGGGGAAAAGAAAGAAAGAAATTTGTAGCATAAATGATTTGCTCATCTCTGTAGGAGAAGGGTCAGACGAGGATTTCTTTGCCTGCCTGGAATGGTTTCTGGGTGCTGCCCTGAGGATTTCTGAGTCCAGCTGGAGTAGATTAGTAATAACAATAGTGCTTATTAGTGCTCTACATTAGTAGATCTCAAGGGTTGTGAAAAGGAGGTTGGTATCATTATCCCCATATTCTAGAAGGGGAAGTCACGGCACAAAAGAGGAAGTGACTTGCCCAAGGTCACCCAGCAAGTCAGTGACAGAGTCTGGCATAGAACCCAGAACTCTATCCAATGCACTATTCTGCCTTTGGTCTAGTACAGTGGTTCTGGCGGACCCCAAACTGGAGGCAAAAGGGAAACTCAGCCTACCTGGGTTGGGGCCCTTCCATCATGCAAGAAAAAGCAATGACACAAAATCCCTTGGCTGAGATCTCCATCTCCTTGCTAAAGAAGCTCATTCCCAAATCCAATAAAGTTGAAGGAACATTTTACGGGCCCCTCCGGAGCAACTTTAAATAAACTGCGAGTGACTTTTTATGATATTTGAAACTTTTAACCCATGTTGTTGGGACATGACTCTGCAAACCCGCTCCACTCAGCGGCTTTTACGGGGCTTCCAAACATACAGTCCCCAGACATACTGTCCTCTCATGACAGATGGGTAGTAACAAGTCAGGGGGAAAGAATTTGGATAAAAATCAGACACATTTGCACCTGAATAATCTCTCCCCCGATGTCTTTTCGCCTCCCTTCCTCCCTCCTCATCTGTCTCCCTGTTTACTCAGTGAAGTCAAACTCAGATGCAGCCTCTGGTGCTCAGAAGGTCTTTGTTTTTTATACAACTTCCACACTCAGGTGCTAAAGGCACGGAGAGCAGAGGATGCCGCCAAGACCACAGAATGAGCCAAGCATCATCGCTGACTGGAGCCCTGGATGACCCATGTGGCTTGCGGATCAGATGATTTCCAAATGGACGTAGCTGCAGAAATTCATTAACTCTGCACTTTGTGTCTCATACTGCAGATTCTTATTGTACTAGCAGCTGCTGTTGGAATTTCATGCCTGTCAACATTTCCTTGCTTCTCTCCATTTCGGACTGTGACCTGGTGGAGTGAGGTTGCCTGTGACTATTTTATTAACCTGTAGGCACTTTGAGACCATGGAGATGCGATCTTAAATGACATCACATTAGGAAGTTCCACCCCCAACTCCACCTTGTTTGGCCCTGTGACCAATCTAGCTGATCTATAGCATCCATCATCATAGTACCCAAGTACATAGAGGTCCTGCTGCCAGGCACTGTACCTTGAGTAACAGAAATCTTTCAATGAAGTTGCAATGGATTGAAATCATTTCTCAACTAACTGTCTCCTGGTGTATGTGGCAGAATGTATATGCTGATTGTGAAAAACCACCAGCCTCAGCGCAAGGGCTACTGGGAGCTTTTCCCACCACTTCCTATCCACAAAATACTGTGCACTGAACATCACTTCTAAACGGAATGCATATCTTCTAGGAGAGATGTAACAGTGATGTGGGACCCAAACTCTCTGAGGCTCATCACAGTATCTGAACCTCTTGGATCAGCAATGCTAGACTGGCTGTCTTGTGGGGCACGTAGTTCTCAGGAGATTTCCGGATCTTCATGTTGGGGCAGATCTACCACCTGGTCCACCTTTCTCACAGCATTGCAGCATTTCTTGGAATCAGCCCCACATGAGCCAGGAAATGGAGAACAGGCAGCAGCAAAATGGAGTGCTAACAAGGTAATAAGTTTTCTGTCTTTCCTGCATATTAGCAGCAGTTTGAGGCTAAGAGGCCATTTGAGTTTTGGGTGAAGGGATGGGTTGGGTCTGTCCTTATCTGAGTGGGGTTTCTCTTCACTATTTCTGCTGCTTCAGTTACCTGAAACATGCACCCCTTTGTAGCCTATTCCCATCTCTGTTCCCCAGCTCTCTGAGAGGCAGTCCTCATTGGTGCACTCCCTAACACCTTCACATCCTTAGCAATTCTTCTTTTGTTTTTGCCCCCTCATAACTTTAAACTTTTACAGCATTTGTCGTCCCTGACAGCTGTGATATATTAGCTACAAACTCCCATTGTGTTCTGCCACTGCACAACAATAGATACTCCTGTCTGTTTATACAGGTTTGAGTTTGTCCGTGTAAATACAGTGTGGAGGAAACAGTAGACCATGTATTGTACGCTGACAGCTGAAAGATTAAGGGAATCCATTAACTAAACCAACTGCCTGGAAATCTTATGCAGAGCATACACCTGAAAGCCATTATTGCTATCCTGTCATACTACTTTATCTCTTTATTTAGGAACAGAGGGGTTTTTTTTGGTTTAATAATGTAAACTTGTTCTTGAGTAACAGAGAAGCCCTTGATTAAGTATCTAAGTATCCCTGCTGAAGAATTTATGAACTCTGAGCCAGCACTGTCCTTGCCAGAGCCCATGGAGTGAAAGGAGAGTGTGGGGAGGGGGCATTAGCCTGTCGCTAGATTTGTGCTGTGAATGGCCTTGGATCAGATTTCCTTGCAACAAACTGTTTGCCATTGCTCTCACAGACGATTCTGTCCCACTTAAATATCTGGCTGCTCTTAACCTTTTTGCGCCTGAATTCCCTCTGTTGTTGGAGCATTGCTCCTCTCCCTCCCCCGAGTCCTTGGTTGTTGGAGCATTGCTCCTCTCCCTCCCCCGAGTCCTTCTCTCTTATAGGAGCAACCCAGCCTCGAGTTTTCAACTGCTGCATGCAGTTATGTTCGGCTTTCCGGCACTGCTGGATGCTGTCAGATCTCTAGCCTGTTCACAAAAGCCTGCAGAACCCCTAACATCACAGAGGCGCTGGATGCGCAGTACAGGCCCGTTCAGCTCTTCCAGCTGACTCACAATGCTTTCCCTCAGCTTCCTTAACTTGGCTAGGGCAGGGACTGGATAGTCTAAACAGAAAGACTCACATAAGGCTGGACAGGAAAGGGAGGGTTTATAGACCCACTAGCCAGAAGGGAGCTCTGAGTTTCAAGGGTCATAAGCAAAAGTCCCAAGACAATTGTTGGCACAAGTGGCAGTGTTGCAGGAATCCTTTCTCTAGTAATTTTAAAGTTAGGAATCACATCTATCTGGCCCTTGTCACTGCAGTATCTGAGACCCATGGTGGCATCATGATTGCTCAGATAATAGACCTCTTAATTTAAAAGTGTTTAGGAGTTTGAACATCTTATCAATATGCAGATCTGCATTCTGACCTAGCAGCCAAAGAAAGGGGCACCTTCAGCCCCAGCGATCAACTACACGAGTTTGAAGAACACTGGGCTCCATCTATTTAACTAAGGAATAAGGCCAGAGTTCCTTCTCCCATCCTCCTCCCACTTGAATCGTCCCTCCCCCCACCCCAGCTTTCAGACTTCCCCTCCCTGCCTTGTCTATGTTGTCTCCCCATTGGTAATAAAGTATTGCTTTATTTGATTTTATAGTTTAATGTTAAGGTTGTTAAAATGGTCTTGGCACAGGCAAGTTAATGATATGCTGTGTGTTACAGCTGGCCATTTTAAGTTTAAAATGTTCTTTTTCTGTTTTTATTTTTGCATTGTGATGTTTGCATTGAAAAGTAAAAATAATAACGACCAAAATGTGCAGATCTGCCTGAGTTCAAAGTGTCCTGCAAATCAGGCTTCAATTGATGGAAGATATTGTTTCTTCAGTACAAAAGTGAGAAGACCAAGAAATCCTGTACATTTTAAGTGCAAATATCACCATTGACAGGGTCTGTATTCAGGTTTTTGATGTGATACGTGAGTGATGAAGTCTCTGCCAAATGCAGAGTAAAGTTTCAATGCTTGGTATTGTCAGGGCAACACCCCAGATTCCTCAGCTAGCTCCGTTCTAGACAGATAGTAACCATGGTACCTGCTTTCCTAATTTGGCTCAGGCCATTGGGACACTCAATAAATACAATGCTTTAAAATGCCTAATATTGATTAGATAGCTTATAGCCCGGTGTGTAATTCACATTCAGTGCTGTCTCCACTCTGAATCCATCGCTGCGATGCTGGGGAGAGAGGAACTTGGAAAGATATTTTTAATCGGTAGTGCAGCTGCTGTAATGCAAACTCCCATTGCTCACCAGAGCCAGGATATTTTCATCTCTCTTTTCTTTCTTTCTTTTTTAATAAATACCCACAGGGTCTGTCTAGCTTCTGAACTAATCACTTCACTTGTAAAATGTCATTGTAACAAAAAAGGCTGCTTGTGAGCTGTGGGAGAGCCAAGAGCAATGGAGGGTCTGGAAGTGCTAAAGTGGGTGTGTGTTTGTCAGAGTGCCTAGCCAGTGGCCTAGTTGTTCGTGTTATGGGAGAAACTTCTCTCAGGCTCTCACTCCCTGGGCTTGGATTCTTCACCATGTAGTGATCTGCTCTGCTTTGTGCTGGTGTAGCCATTAAAGCAGCTGGGGCCTATTGATTACTGGACTGCCCCTGGGAGTGGGGAGAGAGAGGTTCTTCTCCTGGCTTCCAAACCTCACAAAATCTGGGGCTGCTCTAGGGTCAGGGAGAGTATACTGCATTATGAAGAAACCTCAGCACATGTGAGATTTGAATACAGCCGCCAGCAAAAGCCTAACACAGAGAGAGAAAACCTGAGATCCTTTCCCTGATGGGATGTCACAGAGGCCTGTTGGGAGTCATGCAGGAGCAGGGGGGTGGGAAAGATGTCCCAGGGGAACTTAGGATGAGGGTATGGGAAGGCTCTGGTCGGGGGTGTTGGGGCTATTATGGAAAAGTCCTAAACTATTTAACAGAAAATAATAAACTTGTATGGAAGGGGTTTTTTAGATCATCCTGTAGAATGCAATAGTCAATTCCGTCCCTACTATAGATTTCCGTAGGATGGCCCCAAAAGCCTACAGAAAGGATCTCCCCATCCTCTGTATACTCTCTGAGGGGTTAGAGTAATGCAATGGTTCTCAACCTATTTACCACTGTGGGCCACATATATGGCGCTCTGTGTTATGGGGGCCGCAGTCACACAATAGATACACCACCTGTGTGATCCTGAGGGCTGCAGCTGTGTGCTGATTGGGTTGCAAGTGGCCTGCGGGCTGCAGGTTGAGAACCACTGGAGTAATACATATAGGACCTTATTAAAAGTCTGTAAGACCCTATTGACATCCAATAGGACTTTTCCATGAGGGGAGAGTGATGCCTTTGGAGGCTCTGTCACATTTCAGGAAATCATCTGTGCATTTTGATGTTTATTCCAGTGGAATTTCTGAACCCGTGATTTGTCCATCATTGCTATACAACCCCAGGGATTGTGCCTCGGGGCCTTGCCTCCAATTGTTGGCACATGGCTTAGCATCACCCTGAGATGCACCAAAGGGAAGCATAACCTTGTGTTCTTTCAGCAACCAGCCTGTGATTTTATGCTTCTCACCCTCTATCTTCTGGTCTCTCCTGTGAACAGGGGGAAGAGGGCTCAGCCAACTCAGCCTGGGATGAGGGGCACCTCCCACTGGGAAGAAGAAAGAGGAGAAATGCATGTTTCGAACACTAACCAAGTCCACATGATTCAGTTCATGAGTGTGCCTGAGAAGGCTCCATGCAGTTCAAGGCTCATTTGGGCTATGCTGGGGGGAGATGGTGGGGGTGGAGGAGAGTGTGTTGCTAAGCAACATTCCCTGTATATTAAGAAGATAAATCCCATAATAATGGCATGAACTGATACTTTCTGTTTCCTTGTTTCTTTCTTTTTTTCTCACCGGTTCTGCTCTCTTGGATCCCAGCTGCTGCAGCAGGGAGCAAAATGACCTTTTAATGCCCTGAGGGACTAAGGGGCTTTACCTCAATGATGAAAACAGCATGATCTGGTGCTTTTCTGATCTCTTGGAACTGGGGCTTTATTGCTGGTGGTACAGTAATGGGCAGGAGGTGCACTGGGGTTGAGGGTGGGAGGTCCGGTAGAGACAGGCAGACCGTGGAGGTGAGGTGGGGATCTAGTGGGGAGAGACAGGGTGGGAAAGGGTAATTCTCTTTGGGCACATCCCACCCATGTAGTATTTGACTTCTGCAAAGATTTACACAAATGAGTTTTAGTGGAATAAATGTTTACAGGAAAGTGAATTTCAAAGTCTCCACTTGTAAGTGGTCATGGAAACTAAAGTTTAGATTTCCCTGCATGAGTATTCATGCAGGAAGTGTTTGTTCGCATATCCAATTGGGGAGCAGAAACAGTGCCACGTGACTTATCTGAGCAATTGCTGAACATCCACAGTGAGCTGTTTGTAACCAAGCAAAAACAAAACACAAATAATGTGTTAAATACATCTACATAACAAGCAAACTGGAGAAAACTCCAATGATTTAAGATATTCTATGAGCATAAAGAGAGGCTAAATTTGTCAGCTATATAATTTGCTTTGAATTATTCACCCAGCTCTATTTTCCATTATTGCACTTCCTGGTTTCAATGGGGGCTAGAAGCAAAAGTGACAAATATCATGAGAGAACCTCCCATGAGATTTCAGTCTGACAAGCACTGGGGAGTTTGGATGAACATCCAAACTGGTGGAGGCCAATCAGACTGCAGGTTCCAAAGCTAGCACTTTTTGAGGTTTGCCACATGGGCCTCGAGAATTCTCAGTGAACACCATTATCTCCGGATAAATGTCACCAATGTACTTTCTGCAGTCCCTGGCAGCAGAGCTCAAGGGAATCTGGAGCAGAACCTCTGCCTCTCTTCCCTACCACTGCTCCTGCTCTCTGTCCTGCCGGTAAAGGAACTGGTGCAGCGACCTTGGCCTTCAGCCACCAGGTGCTGGTGATGCCACTTAGCCTATAACACAGGCACTTTGTAGTTTCTGTATGCAATTAGCTTACAGCAGCATGGTAAATATTTCATACGTTATAGCAAAGCTTGTTTAATTTTTTATTATTTTAAACTTGCTCATGAATGTTTTACAGAAATGATCTCGTCTGGTGGTGAGCTGAATGGGAATGCGTGAGGACGATTCCCTGTAACACAGCTCTGGGGATTGGACATGTGGCGCCCCGTGCCTGTGGTAGCTGTTAATTTATTCTGCTAATGAGTATAACTGAGAAGGGTGTTGAACAAAGCAAGTTTAGTAGCTATGTCACTGGGTGAAATAAAGGGCCACAACATGCTGCTGTGGTCCTATTTATAATCGTAATTAAATTGCCTCTTGTATAATGGGCTCAGAAACAGTGAATTAAAAAACCCACTCCTGTGTTATGGAGCCTTTCACTGCTTGCTTGTCATTTCAAATCCAACCTGTGTCAGTAGCTGCTAAAGTTGTTACCATCTGTTGGCTGTTCAGTGGCTTTGCGAAATGTATTGGATGGCTCTGCCTGAACCCCATCAGACAGGTGTTCATGTTAGAAAAAACATACAATAACAATTGACACCACAATATGGTAACTGACCCCATCAACACAGAGGCTAAGGGCTGAATGAGCCATGGAGACCGATCTCCCCTTTTACCCTCAGATGAGGTCCTTTCTGGCATATTGGCAGGGTAGCATGGAGGAAGCTCGCCCTGCTACTGCCTGCGCGGTAGCCAAAGTGTGACTAAACCGGAGAGTCAGACTCCAGGGCTGACCAGCCAGCACCTTTCACAAGTGCTGGATTCAGACACTTCTTGGGTTAAAATGCTTGTGTGACCATGTAGGTGGCAGTAGAAGGCACTGACAGAATGCAGGGTACTCTACTCCTGAAGGAAAACGGGAGACTGCTTGGTAAGAGGTTTCAGAGTGGTAGCCCTGTTAGTCTGTATCAGCAAAAAGAACGAGGAGGACTTGTGGCACCTGAGAGACTAACAAATTTATTTGAGCACAAACTTTCATGAGCTACAGCTCACTTCATCGGATGCATGCAGTGGAAAATACAGTAGGAAGAAATATATACATACACAGAGAACATGAAACAATGGGTGTTGCCATACACACTATAACGAGGGTGATCAATTAAGGTGAGTTATTACCAGCAGGAAAAAAAACCCTTTTGCAGTGATAATCAGGATGCCCCATTTCCAACAGTTGATAAGAAGGTGAGAGTAACGGTGGGGGACAGGGGGGGAATAAGCATGGGGAAATAGTTTTACTTTGTGTAGTGACCCATCCACTCCCAGTGTTTATTCAAGCTTAATTTAATGGTGTCCAGTTTGCAAATTAATTCCAATTCAGCAGTCTCTCACTGGAGTGTTCTTGAAGTTTTTTTGTTGTAATATTGCAACTTGTAGGTCTGTAATCGAGTGACCAGGGAGATTGAACAGTTTTCCAACTGGTTTTTGAATGTTATAATTCTTGACGTCTGATTTGTGTCCACTTATCTTTTACATAGAAACTGTCCAGTTTGGCCAATGTACATGGCAGAGGGGCATTGCTGGCACATGATGGCATATATCACATTGGTAGATGTGCAGGTGAACGAGCCTCTGATAGTGTGGCTGATGTGGTTAGATCCTATGATGGTGTCCCCCAATAGATATGTGGACAGAGTTGGCAACGGGCTTTGTTGCAAGGATAGGTTCTTGGGTTAGTGTTTTTGTTGTGTGGTGTGTGGTTGCTGGTGAGTATTTGCTTCAGGTTGGGGGGCTGTCTGTAAACAAGGACTGGCCTGTCTCCCAAGATCTGTGAGAGTAAGGGATCGTCCTTCAGGATAGGTTGTAGATCCTTGGTGATGCGTTGGAGAGGTTTTAGTTGGGGGCTGAAGGTGATGGCTGGTGGCGTTCTGTTATTTTCTTTGTTGGGCCTGTCCTGTAGTAGGTGAATTCTCGGTACTCTTCTGGCTCTGTCAATCTGTTTCTTCACTTCAGCAGGTGGGTATTGTAGTTGTAAGAAAGCTTGATAGAGATCTTGTAGGTGTTTGTCTCTGTCTGAGGGGTTGGAGCAAATGTGGTTGTATCTTAGAGCTTGGCTGTAGACAACGGATCATGTGGTGTGGTCTGGATGAAAGCTGGCATGTAGGTAAGTATAGCGGTCAATAGGTTTCCGGTATAGGGTGGTGTTTATGTGACCATCGCTTATTAGCACTGTAGTGTCCAGGAAGTGGATCTCTTGTGTGGACTGGACCAGGCTGAGGTTGATGGTGGGATGGAAATTGTTGAAATTATGGTGGAATTCCTCAAGGGCTTCTTTTCCATGGGTCCAGATGATGAAGATGTCATCAATGTAGCACAAGTAGAGTAGGGGCATTAGGGGATGAGAGCTGAGGAAGCGTTGTTCTAAGTCAGCCATAAAAATGTTGGCATACTGTGGGGCCATGCGGGTACCCATAGCAGTGCCGCTGACTTGAAGGTATACATTGTCCCCAAATGTGAAATAGTTATGGGTGAGGACAAAGTCACAAAGGTCAGCCACCGGGTTTGCCATGACATTATCGGGGATACTGTTCCTGATGGCTTGTAGTCCATCTTTGTGTGGAATGTTGGTGCAGAGGGCTTCTACATCCATAGTGGCTAGGATGGTGTTTTCTGGAAGATCACCAATGGATTGTAGTTTCCTCAGGAAGTCAGTGGTGTCTCGAAGATAGCTAGGAGTGCTGGTAGCCAGGAAGATGCTTGGATTCCCTTATGCAAGGCCTTAGCAGTGTGTTTCAGTGCAGAAACACCTTTGTGCCACAGAGGCCCTAAGAAATCTTATGTCCCCCTCTGTCAGCATTATTCCAAGGAGGAGATAGCATATTAGTGGCCTTGTCTGCCATTTGCTCATAGAACTGTTACCTTCCTTCTCTTCCATTTCTCTCTCCACAGGGAGAAAATGAAGAGCATCTTTGCTTGTGAGATTGGTTTTACCTCAGCTTTTCTTAGTTTCCTCTTTCACACCCCTGGCTTTTTATTTTGTATGCTTTGGGATTCCTCTCTGACAGAGACACTTGCCTGTCCCACTGCAAAGGAAATTGAGGGCAAAGTTTGTTGTCTGAACCCAAATTAAGCCTCCAAGAGAGGACTTGGAACTTTAATCACAGCTGGTAATTCAACCATGCAGTATATACTCACACGGCAGTGTCACTTAAATCTCTGTTCCCGTTCCCTGCTCTCCCTCTCCTGCCCAAACACTTTGACAGTTTAATAGAAATGGATTTCCCCAAGCAATGATAGTTTGAGAGCCAGATCAGCTCCTTCTGGTGTGTTTGTTGCCCTGTCATAGCTGCACAGCTAGGATTGAGTGCACAGGGCCAGGGTAGATAATTGTTTCTCTGAGGACAATGGTGGGAGATGCCCATTCTTGTGCTACCTCCTCCCTCCTTCCCAGGCCCTCCACAGAGGTGGTAATTCTACAAAGGTAAATGCTGCCAAAGGCTCTTGCTGATTTCAGAAACTCTGGTCTTTCTGTGTCTCTCCATCACCCTGCCCTGCCGCCCCAGTTCAGCACGGCTAGTTAGGGCACCTGTAACCTCAGAGTTTCTTCTGGCCATTTCCACCTGAAGATTTTTGGTTTGTGCTCCATATAAAGAGGAAGGAATTCACATAGCAAAGGGCAATTTATATGTCCAGCCCACTGGGGCAAACACTTTAGGGTCTCTGTAGTAGAGGCTGACCCTTTTAATTTAGACTTCATTTATTCCTGACCTCTCCAATCAAATCCTGTATGTATCAGTCCAGATAGTGATGAGCCAAATTCATACCTGCTGCAACTCCACTAAAGTAAATGGAGTTACATCCGGGATGGATTTGACCAACTGGTATTTTGCTGTGATCTGGGAGT